TCATTCGAGTAAAGAGTCGTTTTTCTTGTAATTGATCGCAAAAACGGTTCTGAGTCTGTTATAATGATCACGTCAAAGATTTTTGCAGTGACTAACGTAAATTTTTCAGAACTTTTCGATGAATCCCCCCCCCCCCCCCCTTCCCCTTTCCTGTATGAGCTCGTTGTAGACAGACCGTTCGTCAGCTAAATCTGAATTTTAATGCGGCTACAGTTGAAAACTCCGGAATCAGCAAAAATCAAAACCATGTTTGGATTATCAAAATTTCCTTCGAGAGGCACAAGGGAGGAAGAAACTTAACAAAACTTAATTCTATATCGACATGATCAAAATTTTGCACGCACAAGTGTTGGCCTTCTCCCTTAGTCACATTAACAACAGAAGACTATTGGAAAGCGCGTATCCAATTGTATCACATGTTTGTTTTGTGATTTCACTAGACCATTTCGTAGTTAGCACATGGGTCAAATGGCTCCAAATATCCACAGATCTTTTACTCATAGTGAAATCCCACTTTGTGTATTTTAGAATAATCAATGTCAAAGTCATGTATGTGTTCTTTTGCCCTCTTGTATCATAGAATGTACCGTAGGTGCACACAATGTCATGAATAATGATTACATAACGTGAGCACGTATTCATCACGGTGGGTTTTACAATTTTATCACAAATGACTTTTATCTGCCCATGCGCAGATAGTATTTACGAAATGGCTCATTGCGTCATTACTTGAGCCAATCAAACCCATGAAGGTAATCTGCCCATGCGCAGATAGTATTTAAGAAGTGGCTTATTGCGTCATTGCATGAAGGTAATCAGTGCAAGCGTCAGAAATGCAACGCGATTTTTGCAGCGTCCATGTTGCATTCACTTTGATCACGTGCTCACTTTCACACTAGGGCGCTTTAGTAACGAGACGGAAGGCAAAGAGGACGGGAGAATTCACTCAACCGAGATCAAATAATGTATGCAGTTCCATTGAAATACTATTATTCTTATCAGGTGAATGAAATAATTTGTATTGAGGCACTTCACAAAGACTTATGCATTACATTTGGTTACATTACGAAAATGGTCTATTGTACGGCGAAACAACTCTTACGTCGCGTTTATAGTGCGGTATGGTATGTAATCCCGTAGGACTTTTTTGCCAAAGTTGATTTTTTTTGTTACTGTTTTGGCTTCAAAAGAGTCCCAATTGGCCAAAAATGATGGGGTTTAAATTTTCAGACCCCTCCTTCATTTCCTGGGGGTCCATTGGGCGCCAAAATGGCTTATAAAGCGCAATAGGGAAATTTGGTGTCTTCGGGAAAATTTGAACCCCATCAATTTCTGATAGTTTGGACCCCAACGAATCCAAAAATGCAACAAAAAAAAATCAACTTTGACACAAAAATCCTACGGGAGCTGTTTCAGTGACATACCGTACCACACTTTTAGGGAACGAACGCAATTATGGCTGAGAACGGTAGTGAAAATCAACAAGACGGAGAAAATTCAGGTTCGCACATGTGCAGATTGATTAATTTGCTCGGTTACCCTCGTCTTTGTCTTCCGTCGTGTTTGTAAAAGCACTCTATATACAGGTCACAAATGAAGACGGGAGCATAGTACAGGACGATCTCGGTTGAGTGATTTCTCCCGTCGTCTTTGCCTAAAGCGCCCTACCGGCACATCAAAGACGGCACTAATCGCTGACGTAGCAATATAGGTCAGCAAAGTAACCCCTCGTGTGCAACAGGGAATAATTCCCATAAGCAACATTTCGATTTTGTTAATACATGCAGTGAAGGCAATCAGGTTATACGCCGGTAATTCAAAACACTATTGCTCTGTTCATTTTCATGATTATCCATTCACCTATTTTACGATAACACTCTCCCATCACGCGTTAGAGACGCAACAATCACTGACGCAGTCCTATGTAAGGAAAATGATTTCTCATTTTGAGTTGTTTTTTTTTTGGAACAATATTGCTGTCCCAAAGCCGTCAAACTGGACTGCACGAGTCATTAACGCAGTTTTAGATCAGGCAAAAGCTGCTTCTTCTACAAGTGGCATAACAGCAATAGGTCAAAAGATGACTGTCGGACTGAGATTTGAAAGTGTTTTATTATCTACCATTATAATATATCGCATCTGAAATTTCCTTATCAACTGACCATCGCAACAAAGTAGTTCCTAAGTATAAAAATAGACACCCGTCACTAGCTGTCTTGAATCAGACGTATCGGCGGAAATGTATGCGTTGATTTTTCTCTCCCAATCCGTCAACGTCGAGAAAAAGATATCCGATCTATACATGGCTATCAAGTGAGCCATGCCCTTTGCACGGAGGACAGGTGTATTTTTACTAAACAGGATACGGAAGGGAGAGTCTTGTTTTCCCGCGCTGACAGAGTCGTCTAGTCCTGAAGCAGACGACATGGTGACTGATCGGTAGCAGACCGATAATACCGTGACCGTGGGGAATTTATCGTTGATGAGTTGATATCATGATTCGCCAAGGTCACCATCCTTATTTTTTCTTGTATAATTATTCTCCTTATTTTAGTTCTTGTAACCAACGTTGTCAATGTCGTCGTCACCCTTTTCCCCCCTTCCGCCTCGTTTGAAATTAGCCTCAAGTTCGTAGCGCCAAGGAAAGATGAAACTTATTGGACTCCCAAAGCTATCTTGTTTTCGTTTTCATTTAGGACACACATCCGATGGAGTTTCGTAATATATTAGGATTTGACTGAGAAAGGAGAGTCTACTCCCCTACAGGCGTGTACGCAGGGGAGAGGGGGTTGAACCCCCTCCCCCTTTAACTTTCTTAATGTGTGTTTTTGGGAGGACCCCCCCCCCCCGTGTTTTGTTTGTTTGTTGTTGTTTTCTAAATAATATTTAAAACAAAAATTGTGGTAATGGGTGACCAAACCCCCCCCCCCCCCCCCCCCCCACCCGCTTATTCAGCGGCCGGCTGAGTCACTGCGAAATTTTCGGCGTGATTTTCAACTTTTAACCCCCCCCCCTCGAAAAAACCCTGCGTACGCGCCTGCTCCCCTATATCTACCTCACTCAACCCCTCCCCATCCCACTCTCTCTCTCTCTCTCTCTCTTCCCCTCCCTCTCTCACTCTCTCTTCCCCCTCCCTCTCTCACTCTCTCTGTCGATTAACATGAATAATACATTTATTGGTACAATTTGCAAATGTATTTCTGGGTTTAAGCGTTAATAAAAAAAAAATATAAAGTTCATTGCAGGGCCTTCAAGCTTTGGGACGTACCCCGGCTCCATCCTATGTTGGATACGACAATATAAATGTCTGGGCCTTGGACCCTGTTGATTAAATGTTAAGAGTCCTGGTTAATGTCGTTTTAAGTGAAGTACAACAATATAGTTGAAATAGTTGAAATATTTATTGGTTACTGAATCATCATAGGTTATAACAATAATGTGACAATGTCTTTACATGAGTATAAAACATAAGTTAAATTACATTTCCACATTCAGTAAATCATAGATACATACGCTCGAAGAGGTGATGATACAGAAGGGCTACAGCCTAAGCGTGACAGCTTGATACGCTTGCAGCCCAGAAACATTTAAAATCATAACGATTGTAAAGTAAAGTAAATTACAGAACATAATTGGGGGAAAATAACAAAAAATAAACAGTGACTTGCAACCAAAAAAAAAATGGGATAGAGGGTGCATGGGAGGGGGATTTTCCTGCTATATCAAGGAAATGCTGACAAACATATATGATATCATGTGTTAATTTAAGAGATTTGTCAATATTTGCTCAATAAAATTGATTTCACACTTTTCTTGAAAGTATATACTGACTTCAAGTTACGGATGTCAACGGACAGTGAGTTCCAAATATCCGGACCAGAATGTCTTATAGATTTCATAGCCATTGTTGTTTTAGGATTACATAAATGGTATTTATTTGATTGTCTGGTTGGGTATGTATGAATATTTCTATTCAAACAAAACATTGGTGGGAAGTGGGAAGGTAGGGAATCATTATGTAGACGGAACATGAACAGTGCTTTTTGTAAAAAGTTAATATCAGTTACTTTCAGAGTTTTTAACCTCGCGAATAGGGGATCAGTGTGATCGCGATATCCAGCATTGGTGCACACACGAATCGCTTTCTTTTGTAAAAGTAGCATTTTATCAGTATATACTTTTGAGTCTGCCCACAGTATATTGCAATAAGACATGTGAGGAAGAATCAAGGAATTGTATAGCATATATAGAATATTCAAAGGCACATAATGTTTTAACTTATACAGTAAACCAACAGTGCGTGACACTCTCTTTGAAACGTAATGTACATGATCACTCCATTTCAGATTTTCATTGATGATAGTTCCAAGAAATTTAGTATTTTGTTTTTTCTCCAAATATTCACCATCCAAGACTATTTCAGGTATAGGTTTATCAGTTGCATTTTTCCTGCTTTGAAAATGAATATAATTAGTTTTTTTCAGATTCAGAGACAATTTGTTGCTCCTAAACCACAAAGACAGCTTAGGTAGCTCGGTGTTCAGAATTCTCTGAAGTGATCGAAAATCGGAATTGGAGCAAAACACATTAGTATCATCAGCAAATATAATATATTGTAATGATGTAGTTGAGTTCGAGATATCATTAACATACAGTAGAAACAATAAAGGACCGAGTATCGATCCTTGTGGGACACCACATTTCATAGGCAATAATAATGAATCTACAGATTCGTAGCTTACATATTGCTTTCTACCTGACAAATAATCATTAAACCAGTCAAGAGCAACTCCTCTTACTCCGTAATAATGAAGTTTGCTTGATAGTACCTTGTGATCAAGAGTGTCAAATGCTTTGCTTAAGTCCATGAATACACCAATAACATGCTTTCGAGACGCCAAAGATGCCCTTTCCCTTTCCTTTCCTTCTTATTGGTACCAAATACCAAAGTACCAAATAGACATTCGCCAACAACACATTTCACCTTTCTTTTGTTACAGCCCCTCTCCCGATGCCTAAGCACTGCCTGGATATCCGTGAGTTCGGTGGAGTACGTAGTGGAGTCTATACCATCTATGTTTCATCGGTCAACGAGTGTGGGAAGAGGGATGTTTACTGCGACCAGACACGAGATGGTGGCGGATGGACGGTAAGAACTTGAGAGATCGTAGCGGGGTCTTAGGTTGGGTTCTGATAAAGGTTTTAAAAAATACATTGTGAGCTATTTCATTCTTATAACATCTATAAGTAACGAGCATGGTCAGCAAGTGTGAGAGGAAGAATGTTAACTGCGATCAAACACGAGACGTTGATAGGTGGACGGTAAGAACTTGAGAGATCGTAGCGGGGTCGTAATTTGCGTTCTGATAAAGGTTTTAAAAATAAATTGTTTGTGAGCTATTTCATTCTTATAACATCTATAAGTAACGAGCAAGGTCAGCAAGTGTGAGAGGAAGAATGTTTACTGCGATCAAACACGGTGATAGGTGGACGGTAAGAACTTGAGAGATCGTAGCGGGGTCGTATAGAGGGGATGTGATTTAACGGGTAAAAGAGAAGGTTGAGTTCTGTTAAATGTAAAGAATTTGTTTATTTGTGAGTTTTTCCTTTAAGCAGCTATGGAACGGGTATGGAAGGAAAGATGTTGGCTGTGATAACGTTTGAGACAGTGGCGGATGGCCGGTAAAAACCTGAGATGTTGCAGAGGGGCCGTATAAAAGAAATAATTAGTTGGTTTGAAGAGTGAAATTAATCGGGTTCTGGTAAAGGTATAACTTAAATCAAACTACTGTACTATTGCTATAAATGGTTTGGATCCAACAAACAAACAAATCCGTTATGCCCTCTCAGGTCATCCAGCGGCGTATCGACGGCCGACTCAACTTCCTCCGCGACTGGGAGGAGTACAAGAACGGTTTCGGTTTCCTCGAGGGGGAGTTCTGGCTCGGCAACGAATGGATTCGCAAGCTCGCCATGCAGGGACCGCACGAACTACGGGTCGATCTCGGTGACTTCCAGCAGCAGGAGAGATTCGCACGGTACAGGGTCTTCTCGATCAGCGACGAGAGGAGCAACTATACGCTGAGAGTGGAGCGCTACGATCCCCAGTCGAATTCAGGTGAGAGGCACCGGCGTAGCCAGACTTGTTGGTCAGGGAGGGGGTGGAGGTGCACAGACGATGGGAGGTTGGGGAGAGGAGGAGGGGGGGGGGGGGAGGGTTGACACATAAACCACGGAGTCGCATAGTTACACACGCTTGGCAAGGGATGTAGAGCAGGGGTCCGGTCTTGAACCCAAAGTTTCATGGTTGGCCAGTTTCTAAGCGGATGAACAGGGGAGGGGCACGACCTCCTTGTGTCCCCTGGCTAAGCCTTTGGTGAAACGGATTTCAGCGGTTGCTTTGACATAGTTTATACTCCCGGCGAAAAAAATTTACCAGATTTATTTCGTCACAGATACAGGGTTAGGGTTATTGAGGATTGGGTTTAGGTTTAAAGGTAAAGACCAGTTTTGGAAACGCCCCCTCTCAAAAAAATAATTGAAATGGAAGCTCTTATTACCAATCATGTTAAGGAATATGTTTTGACTAATACGCAACAAATTTTGCCGAGAAACCGCCTACTAATTGATATATTTTGTAAATTATTATATCTATTTGGACCTGATAGATATAACGCACGTGTCGCGCGCGTGTGCGTAGTCTCATATTCATCTTTCTGTGTACAGTGCTTGTAACTTTACCAAGAGTGGGCCAAATTTCTTATCATTTTGATGATTTCAGAACCTTGCAGTACACACTAATACTTATATGCTAGATGATCAACCTTTTCTGATCGATTCCACAACGTTTCTTTCACAATGCGATCGCATGAGCTGGTCTTTATCTTTAAGTTTAGGGTTAAGTAGGGTGATGGGGGCCAAGGTAGAAGATAGGAGTTCGGTAGTACATGAAATTTACTACGGAGTACTTGTAGCCGGAACATGTGACGTATACAACCATGCATCAGCACTTACAGTTGAGTAGCTTGGTTCGACCATCGATGAGGCATTAGTGTCTTGGGTGCAGGGTTGCAGGACATCGGTATTAAAATGGATCAATATCTGTATCTGTTCTGATCCTGGTCCTGATCCTCAAGAGGGATATAAAGATGACCAATAAGAACGTTATCGTTCGAGAGAGAGTGTTTGTTGCTTCTAGAACATTTTAGAATTGAGTCCAATCACATTGCAGTTGTGGGGAGGGACTATGATTATATTACCCCCTTGGATGGCTTCCCAGAGTCTGGCTTTGAAGGTTTCAACTGCGTCGCAGGCAAAGATGCTGGGGGGAAGTAAATTCCAGGCCCGTATGGTTCTTGGAAAGAAGGTGAGCCGATATATATCCGTCTTGCATCTCATGTTGGAGAAGGAGAGATTATGATGTCCCTTGAGTATCTTCTGGGGTTGTGTGATGTATTCCGGTCTGGGTATGGCTACTTGGTCTTTGATGGACTTGAAGAAGAGCGAGTGACGAGCCACAAAACGTCAACTCTGTAGCGGTTGCCATTTAAGATCACTCTTCAGGTCTGATACATGGACGTCTATTCCATGGCGAGAGAACAAAGGCGAGAGAACAAAGCCATCTCAAATTTCATCTCATCCTCTTTTCATATTGATTCCACCTCCCCTCCTTTCTTTCTTTCTTCCTCCTTCTCTTTCATTCTTTCCTTTTTCTGTTTCGTTATTCAATGGGAGACCCCCCCCCCCCCCCCCCCACTCCGAGAACGGGGGGATACCATGCGTGTTACCAAAATGCCGGTAAAGGGGTACTTTTCGTGCGACAAAGTCCGGCCCGAGAATTGTTTTAAAAAAGGGGATGTATTTGACTTTTCACCCGGAGATTTCTTTAAAAAGGGGTGTTTTTTCTTTTTTTTTTCTCTCATCTCTTTGGACTCCTGAGAAATTATTCCGAATTTAGGGGGGTACATTGAGCATTTTTCCGGATTTAGGGGGGTCTCCAAGGCAGGAAAAGCCCGCGAAAAGCCCGCGAAAAGCCCGCGAAAAGCCCGCGAAAAGCCCGCGAAAGGGGGTTTCGGAAATGTTGGCAGTCCTCAGATAGGGGGTGCTTTCAAAAAGAGGGAACAAGCATACGCGTACCCTAAATAACACTGAGTGGGGGGGGGCGGGATGGGAGAGCAATGACCATGCCCTATAATTACACCATTGACAGCAGCTATGTTAGGTGGTTTCAAGAATACCCTGAAATAAATTTACTTTAGATTAAAAACTATTCGCTTTATTCGTCTGTTCCTTATGCTAGGATGTTCGAAGAAATAAAATTGGAAGTCAAACCGTACCAATAAAACAAAGAAAATAAGAACTAGGCCTATCTGAAGACAGTTTTACAATCATCGGCTATTTGATAAAAGATCGAATCGGAGTCAGACTCTACAACAATTTAAAGACCTGCACCTATATTCTTAAAATAGTCATATTTTTTCAGGTCAGTTTCGAGACAGTTGATTGATGCCATCGGAGTGGTCAGACCATCGTCATACTGATATATTTCCGCCCTCAGCAGTGATGGGACATAGTGCCAAAAATCACACGCCGAGTTGCCCTTGATCTTAAAATTTGATAGTATGATTCATGGGGAGGGGGGGGGCAGACAGTGGCGGCTGGCTGAGTCGTTGCGATTTTGTTGGGAGCAAATTTTCGGGAGCAAAAAAAAAAAAAAAAAAAAAAAAAAAAATATATATATATATATATATATATAATATATATTTATATATATATAGTGATCACTACCCCCCACCCCCACCCCCCCCCCCCCCCCACCCACTGAGCGACTTTTCGGCCGGCGCGATTTTCAAATTTTCTAGGAGCGAAAAAAAAAATAGTTGGGCCCCCTCCCCTAAGAAATCCTGGATCCGCGCCTGGGGGCAGATATGTACATGTCTGTGGCATCAGGTAAAATATTTTCTCTCGAATTCTGTAGATACATCTCCACCATCTTTGTTTGTGTGCGTGATGAATAAAATAAGGATAATAACTGAAATAAAACGTTAATCGTTTTGTGTTAAAGTTTCCATTTTGCGTTTTGTTCTCGGTAAATCATTTTCGAGCGAATATTTTTGTGCGGTAGACTGTCCTTGAAATAAAACTCAAATGCTCGGGTTTTTAGTATTTCGTTACTACAGGAAAAAAAGCTCAAGTTGATCTGATCTTTATTCATATTTTTCGTCGACGACTTTTTAGTGTGTTTTTTAGGTTTCAGCATGTTAAGTGGAGGAATTTGTTCAAGGCACTGATTTTTTTTTAACTATGACCAAATAGCTAAATGGCCCTTTGAGAGCCTGAAAATTGACATCCCCCCCCCCCCACCGAGCTGAAAAAAATATAAAGCCACAAACAATATGTTTTTTTTCTATTGATGATTAATGAGCATGAGTGGATCTTAAAGAAACTTAACAGTAATCGGAATCAACTCCCCTATTTTGATGGAAAAGTGCAATTGAAATAGGCGTTTCGGACATTACATTTTCCGTAAACAATGTAGACCCTCATTTAACCCACTAGAACAACAAATTAATGAGATTATATATGGTTTGAGTGAGTTTATTAGTTGCTCCAAGTGATTATATTAAAAGAAAATATAATTTAATTATAGTAGCGCTTATATTAGAAATTAACTCGAAATTTGAAAAATTCGTCTCATTTTCCGTTAACAGTTTTGTAACGTCCGAAACAATTTTCAATTTGAAGTAGCAGAAAATATATGAACAGCAGGATATATCTATCATAACATTTTGGTAACATCTCATGGCAGCTACCCACCAAAAACAAAGAAATTTGCAATACATTACTACAATACTATTTTATAGTTAAAACCAATTTTCCGTTAACAGTTGTAACGTCCGAAACAAATGTAACGTCCGAAACAAAAAATACCAATAAAATGATGATAATCCATATTTTAAGGTATCTAGAGTGACTAAATCATTATTAAATAAGTTATTATAAGTCTTAACACAAGTCAAAACACAAATTAGGTCTTTCAAATCCATTAATTTTTTGTAATCACAAGAATGGTGTTTCGGACGTTACACAATTTTATTGTTAACACAAAGTCGACAAATTTCACCTAATTTTCGATCATATCTGCAAGTTACCATTTCACAATGGACTCTCCTGTTAAAAACACTATTTTGATGATTTTATTTAGATTTAAATATAAAAATGTGTAGAAATATGATACCAAAAATCAAATAATCCGTAAAATATCTAAATTTTCTGCAAAATTGACTTCTAAAACATAAAATATTGAAGCCACACATTGTGATGCAAGGCATGGCTGGCTGCTTCAGTATATCCCTAATTGTAATTTATCAGAAAAAATCTCAACAAAAGTGACTCATAACAAATATTTAGCCACTTTAACAGCACTTTCTGGTATGCTGTTAGCACGTTTCGGACGTTACATTAAACTGTTAACAGACATTTTCATACTTTAACTAGTTCAAATGAGGGGCAATGATAGATGTGAGAATAGCAAATTTCAATTGTTCAACCTCTCCTTTGCTATTTACATCGGTGTGTGTTTGCAAATCATGAGGTTTTCATTTTTATAGAGGTTGTTCCAAATGATGTCATATAACCAAAGATTGTATGGTCAATTTACACTATCTGGTAGGTTACAAAACTCAAAATCACCCACTTAAGCAATACCCAGTGTACATGGTCATGACATGGATATGATACAGGTATATGAAGTTGATAAAATCAAGCAAATTAAAAAGTTTTTCTAAACATTTATGGGAAATATGTATTTTCATCTGAAAATACATTTAAAACAGGGCACTCAGTACATAACTAATCTATGTTGAAAGGATTACTACTGCCATTATCCAAAACTGGAATTGGCATTTACGCTTAATAATGATAACAATTTATCAAGCAATTTTATGAAATTGGCTTGCACACTACATGACACACTCATTGGTTGCATACATGTACAATTCGTCGCTGTTTTCACGAAGTGACGGTAGTGAAAAAAAATTGCATTCACTTTGCGTTACGATTTTCCTCACTACCGTTACTTCGTGAAAACAAGGACGATTATTGATGAGCACAAAGGCTTCCATTATAAAACAATAATCAGTAATCAGTATCCAATTCCTATTATAGAAACTTGTACAACATAATGTTCACGTAGCTGTAGATCTGCCGAAATTTATAAATGACAAGAAAATGGATTACCAATTTATGGGGGTAATTAAAGCATGAACATGAAAATAAGGTGTAGCCTCTTCAAAATTAATTAATTCAAAAAAAAATTCCTTTCATTTGATGAATTACCCTCAAATGTACTAGCCTTATGTACAAATACTTTTCAAATGCTTGACCTCATAACAAAATGTACATGTTAATGATCATTTCATGATCCTAAAGATATAGTATCTTCCTCAAATTTATGCAAAAATATCGGGATGTACAATGAATTAGGATTCCCATATTTCTTATTACTTAAATGGCTGGGGATACTTTTGTATACTTTTATTTATTAAAAGTATTTTTGTAATGTTTTGCTTACACTGTACATACTGTACATATGTGATAGTGATATTATTGAATGACACACTACATGAATCTAGTTTAAGGCAAAGTACAAAGCAAGCCGATTAAACATCTATGTTGTAAAGTTTGTTGAAATTGATGATCTGATTGAAATGTTCACATCGTGTAACATCCGAAACAAACTATAGCATATATTGTACACTGTTGTTCATAACCTGCAAAAGAGAGTATGTTTGTTAGTGAATTTTCTAGGAGTTGTGATGACTACAATTGCTATTAGCTTCATATTTAACTACACGTTCCTGAAATGAACAGTATACCTTACACAAATTGAGAAGTCCATGAAGACAAACTAGGTATATGTGCAAAACTAATTAAAACTGCACAAGTTTTTCAATAAATGTTAAAGAAATATTTTTCTGCAAACAATTAATGTAACTTAGGTTAATAATACCTAAAGAAAAGCAATTAACTTGAATAAAGTTATCATGTTAACAATGTGTAACGTCCGAAACACCAGTGGTGTGACATATGAAAATTATTAGGCAATGCACTGGTTCCCCAATTTGTTTGGATTTATGTAACTTATATCATCAGTTGTTATAATAAAATAAGTTTGACCTAAGAAAAAAACATTTTACCTATTGAAATAAAAAAAAAAAATTATTGTCAAAACCCTAATTTGGAGCTATTTTTCACTTTCAAGGACAGAAAATCTGTATTTTTCAAGATAGAAACTCAAAAATTTGCATGAATAATCTCTGAAACATATTCTTAAAGACCAACATATTTGTTGGTGAAGTTAATAGCAAATTAGTTTTATATCACAGTTATTAGATATGCTATAGTTCACAATAAAATTGTAAAAACTCAAAGTATTCATATCTGGTGAATAAAAAAGGAGATAGATTAAGGTCTAAAATTTGCATTTCTCAAAAATATGAATAGTCCTGTTCCTAAAAATACATGTTTGAAGTGAGTAAACATGATTTCATTTCAGACCCTATTGCGGACACATTTGGTATGTGTTTTAAAAAAACCAGTGCCTCAAGCTATTATTAGCTATCAGCATCTTTTTCTTGACAGCTTTTTGGAGATGTTAAGGTTAAGACCTTTTTTTTTACATCTTAAATTTGTCGACTAACTCGTGCTTGACGCCTATGTTTGATAGTTTTGGGGACGGAGCATGACATAGGAGAATAATGATTCATTTTTAAAAGTCATCCGAGGCAATTAGTAAAGATAATTGGGGTCGTGACGTAGAGGTTTGCTGAACTTACCAATGATAGAAGGTGGGGCTGAAATTTCAATATCACTAAGGACAGTGATGTAACTTAAAGGGGTTAGTCTACCCTGATATTAAATTGGTTTTAATAAAGGCAGAAAAGTGAGAGAAGAAGGTGGGGTTAGGGTTGGTCTGATGACCCTTTTGTGTAGTTAGAATCTTTGCAACGAAACAAATGTAGGTAAATCTGACCTGACATCCCAAGTTTCCTCCATTAAAGTTTTCGAGCAACTTGAATACCCCATAAACTATACAAATCAATTATACAGTAGGCTTGCGGATGCAACGTGTGAGAGAGAGGGAGGATTGAAGAGTCCTGAAAAAGGACTCTTGGTAATCTTTCTTGAGGTTATGTAGTCCTGAAAAGTTCATTTGGTGTAGTCTTGAAAAAGACTATTGGTTATCTTTCTTAGCTTATAGTTCTAAGGAGAACTATAGCGCTTGGAGAGGATGGGTAGCGGGAGTGGTTCGACGTTTTTCAGGACTCCTCCATCCTCCCTCCCCCTCTCTCACACGGGCGCGTACGCAGGGGGGGGGGGGTGATGGGGTTGAACCCCCCCCCCCTTTGGTATTTGTATGTGTGTAAACCCCCCTAAAAAAACTAACCCCCCCCCCCCCCTTTGATTTTTTTTTTTTTTTTTTTTTTTAATTATAAAAAATTTAAAAAAATTAAAATAATAAAAATATGCCCATGGCTGACCTAAAAAAGGTAACCTTACCACCCTCCCCCCAACAAAGAAAAATGTCAAATTTTCAAATTTCGAGACCAAAAAAAAAAGTGTCCTCTTACCCCCCCCCCCCCCCCCCCCCCCCCCTCCCTGCGTACGCCCCTGGGGGATACTATATATTGTGTTATAACACCCCGATTCGTGTCTTCACTTGTTTCAGTGCAAGTGCAAAATTTGCTTGTTATCATTGTTTTCTTCATTATTTGGTCACCATTTTAATTAAAACATATCTCTCTTCAAATTGACTCTTTTTATAAGCTAAATACAGTTAAGAACAATACTATGCTAAAAGTACAGATTTTGCATATCAATAGATTAAGTAATAAACAGTAATTAAATCCTACAAATGTAAAAGACATTTCTAAAGGCTGAGCAAGTATATGACATTATAAAAAATAACAATTTTACTTGAAAGACAATTTTTTTCACTTGCATTAATTTGAAAGACATTATAGGCCTACTTTATAGGTAGAGTGGCAGTTGGTAGCAAAGAAGAGAGAGAGAGACGGGAGAGGTACTTTAATGCATTCCCCATTTCGATTACCTTTCATCACAAGAAGATTAGAACAGTTCTTGAATTATTTTGCTCACTTGCTTCGCTCGCACGCAAATGAATTACGATACCATTACACCCAACCAGGAGGTACAGACAGAAAACTATGAAACGTTCCAGATGACACTTGATACTGTTAGATTATTTTAGGTGTGTATATACCAGTTAGTGTCTCTTAATGGTAACTTTCCACTTTGTGCAGACCCTCTGAACACGCCACTACCAAGTGTTTGTTTTGTCGATGCCCTTCCTTGATAGACGTTTTGTAGGCCATACATCGACCAAGTGATTTTTTTACTAGGAATATAAACCAAATAATGTCTTGACCCATTTTACTCGTAACTCCTTATCAAAGGTACTGGTAACCTATCGACTACGAAAAACACCCATCAATACTAGTTTGACTGACCATATTTTCGAAGTGTCAATAAGTGATTTTAATGTTGTCTCTTATTTAGTGACTCTAAACTTTTTGGATATAAATCCATTTGAAACTATAGTTTGAATAAAAAAAGAAAAAAGAAAATATCAGCCAACATCAAATAATTATGTTATCATAACATCGCTCTGTGACTAAGCGGAGTGCGCCATCTTCTGCTAGCTTTTGTAAAAGCGTGAATTCTTTTGGCATCTTGTGAACGCCGATGGAGTGGTTTCCTTTGCTGTAGAACGGCCCCGTATTAGGCTCGTAGTAATGGTATCGCAAGGTGCGTCCCCGGGAATCCTGCGGGAACGGGAAGAATCCATACATTGTGACCTCATCACAGTGTAGTAGGGCTGCAGTCATCACAGATAGACCCGTCGAAGGCACTGGCATTTTCCATACTCTACCAACACAAGTTTAAAGAAGAAAAAACATATTGAGAAGTCATCATTAAATTCCATTTGATTTGACAACAGGGTACTGAAGTTGCCCTTGAGTTGATTTTCGACAATATTTGCGATTGTGTCACAGGTATGATCTGGATCGTTTAACAATGTTAAATCTGAGATATACGGCCCTACATGTTACCAGTGTCTGTGATATGATGTAATATTGAAGCCCTAAAAAAAAATCGAGCTTCAAAATGATCAAGTGCTTCAAAAAAGTAGAAATCTTTGAATGACCGGTTTTACCATACTCGTTTTCCCAATAGACTGTAGTGTTATCAAAACCGTTCGGCGAACGGTTTTCAAAATTTGTAATCCAATCATTAATATCTTGATAATCAGTCAGGCGATCGGCTTGTAAAAATCATGGAGTTCCTTACTGACCTAAAGGTTTATAATTATCATTGCAGCATAAGTAAAATCAAGGATTATTTCTAAAGGATCTAAGACAATGTTACCGGATCCCTTTAAAGGCCCACTGCACTACTTGCAGCTACTTGCGCCCTCTATATAACAAACAATGCCTAATCGGTGACCATTGCTCCCCCATGATCCTCTTTTTCTTATGTTAACTGAGAGCTGAGTTGATGAGATAACCACCTGTCCAGTGACCTTGCAGGGCAGTCTAATCCCTCCTATAAACTACGGCAGATAAGCTTTAAGACTAAGAGAGCACACTGAAGAGCACGAGTGGCTAGTTAAGTATATATATTCATATTAACTACTAACCCTAACCATAATGGAACGGGGAAATAAAAACTACTAATTCTACTACTATACATATTACTTTTAAAACACAAGACGTGCAGAATGAGCACTCATATTCCGGTTGCACACGAGGCTTCGAATCGATTGCGTTAAAATCAAACCCTACACGCCAGAAATTCGGCGCTATGTTTGAAAAATTCTAGTTTTACACTTAATTTATGTACGCTATCACTCTGACCACGATGCGTCAAAGAGCAACATAGTGACGTCATGCACGTGTACATTATGCTAAATTGAGAACTGTTTCTTACTTCGATGCGAGGTACATTAACGATTCAGGGCTGTACGCCCATGCAGGTTGGAGTTGTAGAGTATCTCTGAAGGAAACAGCTATTTGACTCAATTTCTCTGGAAAACCTTTAGGAAACCAGACGATACTGCTGTCGGTGACAGTATTATTCAATCTATTAATGTACATCCATCCTTGCACCGTTGTATTCAAGTCTTTCGAGAGTTTCGCCAGCGCGAGAAGCTGCATCCGATTCACGGTGATGAGGTCGACTTTGGATCCGACATCTCTGGAGAACTCACCGTCGACCGGGGCAAGGTTCAATCGGAAAACGAAGTCGTGGTCATCGACCTCACGCCCGCAGAGGCTTGATAGAAGGATGCCTGAGTTGCCTACCACAGCGCATCGGTGACCCACCGGTGAGGGCAGCACGTTCGTCTGATTGTGCTCCATGATCGTGGATAAGTTGGTGCCGAACTTATAATTTTCGGGGTCGATGTCACGACGAAATATCCTGAATGTTGTACTCGTATTCAAGTATTTCAATATCTTGCGCCTGCATGGTGGAAAACAATTATATTAAAAATTAACTACATTTCCGTACTGGATTTTTGTATATAAATTGGCTTAACATGAACCCCTTACCCCCCTCCCCCCCCCCCCCCCCCCCAAAAAAAAAAAAAAAATTAAAAAAATTGGAACGGTTCTGACTTGCCTGTCAACCCCACCCTTTACAATCCAAACATGATCTTTAATAAACGACAAATTAAGTTACGTGAAATAACCTACTTATTCAAATTTAAAACAATGTAAGTATAGAAAATTATGGTCCATTTGATCATTCACTAAAATGAAGTTTTGGGTAGGTTGGTTTATAGACATTTTGAAGAAAACTATTACTATTAAACTCTATATTTATTTTAAAAAACACATCTTAACATCTCAGGAGAGTTTTTTAATCACTCACCCACCCTCTCCCCGCCCTTTTCGAGAAAAAAATGGGGGTATGGATACTCTAGAAATATAAAAAGTTAATTTTTCGAACGTATACTGTTGCCCATAAAGCTGGAATTAAAAAAATATATATATTTATAATATCCCTATTCATGAAATGAAAGTGAGAATGTGATTAATGCTTGATAGATAAAGCTTATATCTTCTCACAACTTAATCGACCAATCTCTATGACTCTTGATATTGTGACAATATGATTTATTTCTAATGGCTAGATTCATATCTCCTCAGAGTCTTTTAGATCGATCTCTCTGATTCTTTAGATTGACAAAGATCTGAGATGATATAAGCTTTATCTATTAATAATAAATCACATTCTCACAATCTTTTTCATAAAAAGAAGAAAGAACGAGTTGATATTATATCAACTTTATGGGCAACAGTGTATTACAGCGCAATTTAGGTAAGACAAACTTCACAATAATTTAGAAACGAAGAATCCTTTTGCCTCACTTTTATTGCACAAGAGCACACAATTTATTATGACAATAAATGAATATAGGTCAATTGTTATCACCTCATAAAATTTGCACTTCCAGCTTTTGATGGTCATGGTAAGTGTGCTGCATGATCGTAACCAAGGCTATCAGTTATATATCCTATCAAATTAAGTCATCTTTGAAAAATTATATATACACGGTATGTATTTTTCTGACTTGTTTTTAATTGGAAGATCGAGCTTGCGATCTTTATCTACTGGGTTCAAGCCAAAAAATTCTTTACAACAAAAATATAACACTTACACAACTGTTTTTTCTCACTAAATTAGCAACCAGTGTCAGGTGCGTATGAACTTGACACTCATAAACTCAAATGTAATTATGAATCAAATTTTAACATGGTCTTATTATAGTATACAAAATTACGTGCAACTTGGTAATAATCGACCTGCCAATATCAGTCCATCCCAGTGCCATGTTCGGCAATGTATCAGGAAATAGGGGAATAACATGTCGGAAAGTGTAATGTATAATATACCACTGAACATAGTCCACGAGTTCATGGTCCATGTACATGCACGACTATTGATATACAATAACCCTCCAAAACACCAACATTGATTATCAATTATGGTGAATATCAAGATTTTAGTCATTTTAGATTAGAATAAGCAATTTAGCTATAAATTATATACCTGCTGTTTTTCCTCTAAGAAAGTGTAGGAATAGACGCAGAGTCAGAGAGTGATGACCTCTAAGGTATTTGATCGTAAGTTTCATCTAAAAGATTCCAAAGTCGCAAACTATTAAATTAGTTTCATCCCGACTGAGGCTTATGTACACAATACAATTGTAAAATTAAATTGTTTGAACTTTTTATAAAAGACGAACAAATTATTTACCCATTTTGTTTGGTATAATAATTGTACTTTTATCATGACATAAACCAACAACTAAAAAAGTGTTTATAATATCTTTCGTGTATAAAGTATATTACTATGTAACCTCATTTGACATCTTGCAAAAATTGATAATTTGGCGACATGATGATTATGCTCTTTAATACACCTGTCCAGGATATCATTTCTTTTTAAACCGTTGAACAATTTGAAATGTTTGATGGCTTATCCGTAAAAAAGTTTCTGAGGTTCTGAGCTTGATAATACATTCTGTGACTCATGCATACCTAGCCTCTTCTATAGCTTGAGTGGATAACGGTTTCATTAGCTGTACCCGACGTCGATGATGAGGGGATTGCTGGTCGACCGTTACCTTCAAACCTTCTGGGGTACCGCCGGCGTCGGCCAGTGGAACTACAAGGCGAAAATAACAATGTTGATGATGATGATGATTGTTATGTACATAAAAATAAAAAGATTTGTTGAGATGATAATTATATACTAGTATGCATGTATATACAAACTACGAAGACAACAGGCATGGTGAGAGATCAAAAACTATATTGATGGCCCCATTAAGATAAGTTGCCGTGTCAAGTACAGGACTTAAAGTAGATATTCATTGATTTTAAAAACTAACTTAATTTCATTATTGCAAAGTTGAAACTTTGATTCGACAAGGTTATCAAAATTCAATGCTTGGAAACATTCGAAGTAATGATTATTATAAATTATAAAACGCTTAAATACAGCCCCGGCATAGCACCTGAAGAGCTCTCCGAACGCTGCTGAGATGTGTGAGATCACAGTATGGACACGATTTGCACAAGCAGACGATGTCCCATGCATGACATCTCACACATTTTCAGTGCCTGTGTTTTCATCTTCTCTTGAGTTCTTACTCTTACTTTAATACCGTCAGGCTAAGTGTATAATCAATTGCCACACTCTAAACCCCGCACATGGTTTTATTTTTATGACAAATGCAGCGATACAAAAATAAAGGAATCTGTCGCTTGTAAACAAAATAAGACGTCATTGAATATTCAGCTGCACACACCGCGGTATGTTCGGCGTTTCAAGAAGGAACAAATGCCGTCCTTAATATCATTCCAGGGGGTTTTCAATTCGAAAGTCTGGTTTCTTTGATTGTTAATTAACCCCTATCCTGTGTATTTACAAGCAAAAGATTTTAGTTATCGGAATCGGGTCATATTCCCTTTTGAATGGTTTGACATGCCATCACATTTATATACACTAAACTCATTATAATTTGACAAATAAAAGCTTTGCAATTATGTTCATTCTTCATGGGATGTCGTCTGCTTGGGCAGTATTGGTCCATATAGTGACGTCATTAAAACATCGTTATTTTTCCGGCGAATCACTCTCGTATATCCCAGCTGCTATGCAGGTGGTTGTATTTGTATTTTTATAAATCACCCGATATGTAGTTGACCTAAAACTTGTACGATGGTCATCTGCTAGCTTACCATTTTCTAGTCATACATTAGTTGACATATTTGTGATTTTCTTTGAATTTCACCTTTAAAGATAAGGTTGAGTTCTGGGGAGAGGTAAACAATAATTTGTGAGCGTTATCATTCTTATCATGCAAGTATGGAAGAACATCAGAGAAAAAATGTTCCCTGAAAAGCATGGCTCTTAAATATGACAAGTAACAGCTAAAAACAAGGCCAAATTTTTATGCCACATGTTTGTGAAGTCCCATATACATCTTTCAGTGTACAGTGCTTGTTAATTTACCAAGAATGGGCCGAATTTCTTATCGTTTTGATGACTACAGAACCTTGCAGTACACAACAATACTTATATGCTACATCAACTTTTTCTGATCGATTCCACACCGTTTCTTTTACAATGAAATCGCATGACCAGAACTCAACTATATACATGTATTTAAACCAACCTTTCAATTGTTTGACATATAATCGTCGTCAGTCTTACAAACCGGCGAATAGCCACCCCAGTGCGCGTAAACATATAGTTTCGAGAAAGACGCATTTAAAGTTTTAGCCCTTTTTAAACGAGGATTTCATCATGATTCTGATTAATATTTCCGAACAATATTTACACAGAAAAAACGTGTGGGGTCTGCCCTTTAATATCATATATGTATCAATTTATATCTTTATAAAATAATAAAGTTATAAGCCGAGAAACCTTGTTCGCCGGTTCGTATAAAAACAAAAGTTATCAAACGCGTTCACGTTCTACGCTATTCGACGCTTATTCACCGCATGTCAGAACGAACAGCATACAACGCGCAGTCAGAGAATACCTATTCGACGCCTACTCGCCGGTTCGTAAGAACGAACGCTGTGTGGCTATTACACGCGCGTCTATGTGGGTCAACAAACTTTTTGATTCGCAGTGCGTGTACAAAATGTTTTACTTATTACAGCGACAACACGTTGTTTGGGGAATAATTTCATCACATCGAAGTGAAATGGCAAATAAGTATCAATGTGTGTAATACACTGTCGCTCATAAAGGTGGAATATTTTTTTGTTACCCCAATTTATAGAATTATTTAAAAAAAAAAATAATAATAATAGATCTAGATAATAGTATACATTCTCAGATTTTATTGAATAATAATTTGCCAATGTGTGTTTTGCGTGAGTGCTAAAGCATTGTGTATGCTACTATGCTTATCAACTAGGGGACCTACGCCCTTTAGTCATAAATGACAGTAATGAGGATTAATGCCCCACAAAAGGGCACTAATATAGCACATCGACACGGTTTTGATCCTGGGGCCTCACAGTTACGAGGCCATTGCTTTGTCACTGAGCCATGACTGTACGCAGCGGGGGCTAGGGTAGGAGGCAGTTTCCATAAATAATTTTTTTTTTTTAAATGCAATACATTTTCAATAATTTTTTGCATTAGTTTACCCCGGTTCCCAACATAAAAAGAACTTCTGTGTGCCCGTGCCTTGAGCCATAATACAGTGGCGGATCCAGGGGGGCCGAAACGGCCGCGGCCCCCCCCCCCCCCCCCCCCCTATTGGCGGCGCAAACGGAAGAAAAAAAGAGGAAGAAAAAAGAGAAAAAGAGAAGGAGAAGAGGAGGAAAAGAAACTGGGAGAAGAGAAAAGAAAGGAGAAGAGAAAGGAAAAAAAGAAGAGAAAGGAAAAGAGAAGAGAAAAGATAAAGAACAAAGCCCCCCCCCTCCCCCTCCCCCCTCCCTCCCGGAGGGACCGAATTTGTGTTCCCAAAATTTCAGATAAAGAGGTACTTTTCACGCAACAAATTCCGGCCCGTAATACACAAAAATCCGGCCCGTACTGACTTAACACACCGGAGATAGAGGGGTGCTTTCAAAGAGAGGGAACATACATGTTCGTACCTTAGATAACACTGAGTGGGTGGGGGTGCACCCAAGAAAATCCAATTGAAACCAATTGAACACCAATTGAAATTTCAATTGGTTTCAATTGGTTTCAATTGGTTCCAATTGGTCTCAATAGGTTTTAACAGGTTTCAATGGGACTTTAATAGGACTTTAGATGGTTTCAATTGGTCCAGATTGGCCCCATTGGGCCAATTGGCCCCATTGGCCTAGGCCCCATTAGACTTTAATGGGTCCCCAATTGGTTTCAATTGGTCCAGATTGGCCCCATTGGACAAATTGGCCCCATTGGCCTAGGCCCCATTAGACTTTAATGGGTCCCAATTGGTTTTAATTGGACCAATTGGCCTTAATAGGCATCTCATGAATATTCATTATCACTTCCCACGTGTCACAGAAAAATAAATTTATCATGATTTGTTAAGCAAATTATGACAATGCACATCAATTTTGTGATTTCTTTTTTCCTTCGGCAATTATTAACCAATAGATTATTTTGTCTGATCATGTTACAATTACATTCACGTTTTAGCAATAGATATATTGATTATATGATTACTAACCAAGAAACAACATGCATATTTAGTATATATATGTGTACGAGCCTGTGTCACTGTAAATGTAACTATTAAATTCACTTCAAATGATCTATGTGATGAAGTTAATGCAAATGAGAGTGGAATATACCTAATTGGTGGACAGTTGCCAATATCGATTATGAAGTATCAGTAATCTATCACTGGTTCTTCTAACTGGATCGATTTACCAATTGAATCCCCATTTAATGCCCCCATTGAATCCCAATTCAATACCAATTGGCAATTTGGAGTACATGGAAAGTGAAACAATCAATGGGTATCCATTGAAACCAATTGGCAATTGGTCCCCATTGGAACCAATTGGTAATTGGTCCCCATTAAAACCAATTGCCAGTTGGTTTCAATGGGGACCAATTGCCAATTGGTTTCAATGGGTACCCATTGTTTCACTTTCCATTTACTCCAAATTGCCAATTGGGATTCAATGGGGACATTCAATGGGGATTCAATTGGATTTTCGTCTTGGGTGGGGGGCGGGGGGGTGGGAAAAAGAAAAGTCGGGTGAGAAAGGGGAAAGACAAGGAAATAGGACTAAGTGACAGTAACGACGAATGAGGGAAAACTGTAATCGGGAGATTTGGGGTCATTCCAGAAGGCTTGGC